ACCCACCCAAAACAAGTGAGACAAAGTCTCGCCATCCTCACTTCTAAGAAGCATTCTGACTGTACTTCCTCCAAGACAGACTTGCTCTTGTGATTAATACATCCTGTGAAAGTCGGAACTTTGACCTTTGTCCTTAACTGTCTCCTCTAAGGACTCTTAGTTTAGAAATAATACTATTTCCCTTTTGTCATGGTTTGAATTATGTCCCCCCCAAAAATGTGTGTATCAATTTGGCTGGGCCATGATTCCCAGAATTGTGTGGTTGACCTCCATTTTGTGATTGTAATTTTATGTTAAAGAGGATTAGGGTGGGATTGTAACACCACCCTTACCCAGGTCACATCCCTGATCCAATGTAAAGGGAGTTTCCCTGGGGTGTGGCCTGCCCCACCTTTTATCTCTTGTAAGAGATAAAAGGAAAGGGAAGCAAGCAGAGAGTTGGGGACCTCATACCATCAAGAAAGCAGTGCCAGGAGCAGGGTGTGTCCTCCGGACCGGGGTTCCTGCGCAAAGAAGCTCCTAGTCCAGGAGAACACTGAAGAGAAGAAGGCCGACAGAGAAAAAGCCTTCCCCTGGAGCTGACGCCCTGAATTTGGACTTTTAGCCTACTTTGACTGTGAGGAAATAAACTTTTCTGTTTGTTAAAGCCGCCCATTTATGGTATTTCTGTTATAGCAGCACTAGATGACTAAGATACCTTTTAACTTGAAAACGGGAACATGTTAACAGTAAAATGTCATGTCACAGAAAAACACTGTCACCTTCTCGCTAGGAGAAGTTATCTGTGCTAAAGTGCGCAGGAAAAACATTAAAAAGAAATTATTCATTTCCAAGAGCAGGTTTTCATAATCTATGAGGCAGTTGCAACTGTCACCTTGTTATTCCTTCATTAGAGTTGAGAAAGAAGGAGGAACCATACTTGGGTAATAGAGTCTAAGATCTTCACGCAGGACTGTGTTGCTTCCTTTCACTATCCTGACCCCAGCCCTCTTCAGGATTTGCCAGAGGAGATGCTTAGTAATTTTTTGTTGAACTATTGTAAACTTATGCTTATTGTATTCACTCATATATACCCAATGCCCAGCACGTAGTGATAGATAAATATTTGCTGATTGGATAACTAACCCCAACCCAGACTGTGACTCATTTCGTCCTCAAGCACTCCCCTACACTCCCTTCAGTGACTTGTTTCTCTGTTTTGACAACATTTCTTTCCTTACTTATAATTTTATTTCCAGAGCTTTCTCAGGCCCTGGAAACAGACAAACCTATTTTCAAATCACAGAAACCTAGTTCTGCTACATAAAAGGTGAACAATCAGTTTGACCTCTAGTTTCAGATTCTTCAGTGGTAAAAGGAATAAATATTACCTACCCTGGAGGGTGGTTGTGAGGTTGAAATCAGACATAGCACATAAAGTATGTAGCACAGTACCTGGTAGGTGGTAACTGCTCAATAATATTAGTATGTCATACACAGCTTTGAACTGCAACCCAGAATCCAACTTTGTGTTTCCTCAAGTAATGGGCTGCCCACAAAAAATGAAGAGCAAAATAAGCAATGGTTTCCACGCTGGGTTTTGCTGAACCCTCAGAAGTTCTGTTAACCGATGGGGATTTCATTTTGCTAAAAATAGTCACCTCAGGAAGGAGGAAGATGCTGAGAAGCTGGGAGCCAGGTTCTCTATCCCTTTTCAACCAGATCACCTTCACTCTGATTTGTTTTATAAATTGATGTTCTTTAAAGATGAAGGAATAAGTTTGAAAACCATTATCCTATACCACAATGTTTCTCTGCATTGATTTTAGCTCTTAATGTTAATTATCGGTTGTAAAGCTAAAAAGAGACCTAGGTGTACTCCCTTTGCTAACTGGCTAGGTTGTCTTGGGCAAATCACTTAACTTCTCTACTCCAAGCTAGCTATTCTGTGAAATGTATAGTTAGTTTATAAAGGTAATACCTAAGGTTCCTGTTTTCCTGTTAGTTTTATTTCTAGAGATTAACAAGATTGATGCAGAAGAATTGTTTTAAATAGCTTGATAAATTAAAACTTTTTAACCATTTAATTCCAATAATTATTTAAGTCCAGTAACCTAGAACACAACACACACACCTGTTGAATGTCAAATGAAGGAGTGAATGTTTTAATTGTTGACTAAATGGTGATGGACCGTTGCATTGACTGAGCCTTGGTGGGACCATGCTGGGCTTCACTGGGCTGTGGTAGGATATGGCAGTTCTTTTCTAGCTAACCAAGTTCTCCAGGCATGTAATAAAGGCATTATTAAGTAAGTACAGTTAGCTCTAAGTGACTAGGATCAGGAATTCTGGGTGTCTTGCTCTTATTTATCCACAGAGTGTATATCTAATAACCAATCCTACTATTTGTATCTCCTACGCATATCTTAAATCCATCTTTAATCTCTATTGATGTCAGAGTAGGTCAAGTCACCATCCTCTCTGACTAGAATAGCATCCTTAGGGTTCTTCCTACTTCCATTCTTATTACTTCCAATCTGTTCTAAATAGATGCCTATTATTCTCTATTGCTGGACCTGTATGCTTCTTTCAGGGCATTATCACACTGTTGGTTATATATATATGTGGTTATTTTCAGTTTCTCCCAATAAACTGTGAATACTGGGAGGACAGAGACCTTTCTTACTCATCTGTATAGTCCACCCCACCCTCTTGCACCCATCTAGTACCTAGCATTCTTTCCTCAAATAGTCAAGGAATGAATGAATGTGAATCCTCAAAGGCACAGAGACCCTGTCTCAATTCATTTTTGCACCACCAGCACCAAGGATTAGGCACTATTTAGAATCCATCCACGTATCTGACACAAAGCAGACAATAATTATCTGCTCCATGTTTGATTCAATCGATGAAGCCATGACTCGCCTTTCCAGGTTTTAGACAAAACTGTATTTGAATCTTCTCTACTCTATTGCTTACCAGCTGTGTGATTTTGAGGCCTGATTTCTTTCAGCTGCTAAACTGGAGCTAAGGCTTACTTCATGGCGCTGCTGTCGATGAGATATGGCTCATGAAGGGCTCTGCACAGTGACCCTGTGTGTACTTACAGTACCCCACCTACCACAGGGAGACGGCTCAGGGAAGAAATCTAAAAGGACTGGAGAAAGTGGCTTCTCAACTAAGAAAGAAACCCCACAAGTTTTGGGTACAAAAAGTCACAAACTCCCCTGAAGTAGCTGGCCTTGGTATTTTTTATCCAAAAATTTCTGTATTAAAATGCTGAAGGAGAAAGGAGCATGGGGTTAGGGGGTCAACTCTGTTGCTTTGCGCTCTTCCAAATCCCCTTGAGCAATGACTTGACAGCCACCAGCCACTGAGGTTTCTAACTATACAGTAATTAATAGTTATATAGAAAACATAGTGGATGCCCACAAAGATTGGTTGTCCATGGATGGTGCAAATGGTTAACAATCAGCTATTAACCGAAAGGTTAAAGGTTGGTGTTTCAAATCCACCTAGAGGTGCCTCAGAAGAAAGGCCTGACCAAAAAAGTCACAGCTATTGAAATCCTGATGGAGCACAGTTCTTCTCTGACACACATGGGGTCGCCATGAGTCAGAATCCATTCCATGGCAATTGGTTTGGTTTTTGTTTTCTTGCCCAGAAGGATTAGGCACCATTTAGAATCCATCTATCCATTTAACACATCATAACTGAAACTCTTAACAGGCTTTTATTGCTCTTAGTGTAGACTCAAACCCTAAATACAGCCTGCAAGGCCCTGTAGGATCTAGCCCTTGCCCACCATTTTTGCCTCATCTCACTTTAATCTCCTCCATGTTCCCTGAGCTCCTACCATACTGGTCTTCTTTGAGTTCCTGCCACAGGGCCTGTGTACTTGTGTTTCCCTTTGCCTGGATGATCCCCTAGGTTAACTCCAAAAACCAGTTTCTGTTGGGTGGGTTCCACTCATGGTGACCCCACGGGTGTCAGAACAGAACTGTGCTCCATAGGATTTTCAATGGTTGGTTTTTCGGAACTAGATCGACAGGCCTTTCTTCCGAAGTGCCTCTGGGTGGGCTCCAACCTCCAACGTTTTGGTTAGCAGCAGAGCATGTTAACCATATATACCACCCAGCGAGTCCTTTCTGTTAACTACATTTATCAATATAGCTCAAGTCAAGGTCAGTTCTTCAGAGACTTCCCAGACCCTCCAGTTTAGGTCCTAGAAGCTCTTTCCATTCATTCATTGTAGGACCTCGCTTTGTAATTATACACCCAATTGTGTGGTTATTTGGCTTCTGTCTCCCAGTAACCTGTGCTCTCTGAGAGCAGTGATCATGGATAATTTGGGCTGTTGTATCGCCAGCGCCCAGAATGGTGCCCACCACCTGGTAGGTGCTCGGTAAGTCTCTGTTGAGTGAATGAATAAATGAAAGGTTTCTAGGACCCGGGTAGAGTGAGTAGGACAGGTCCCTACCATCCCAGAGCTTGGAGGTGGTATGGGGACACAGACCAATAAACAGATGAGTACTCTATTCCCAGAGAGGCTAAGTCCCGCGCCTTCTTCGGATCACCAGCCATTCCCAGCCGCAGTCTGGAGGAAGGGGTGGGTTTAACGGCGGATGCTAAAACCAAGTGCACGGTGACCCATCAGTTGAACCACAGTGTCCATAAAACCAAGGTCTTCAGCAAGGACGTAAGAGGCTACTCTGCCCGGTTGCAGCCAGCTGCCAGGTGACTCTTCTCCCTGTCCCTTGTGCCCCACTGGGCGCATTCTCGCCAGCAACCGGGCGCGCCAGCTGCCCGGGGGCCAGCGGCTGCATTGGGCGCCCGTGATTGGCAGCCCCCAGCCTCAGCCCGGGCGCGCCCTCCCACCTAAGGCGAAGTCCAGCCCCCAGCGAGCCTTGGGCCGCCTTCTCCTCCCCGCTGCCCCGCGAGTGCCCAGCGCAGGGCCGGATCCGGCTGCGCACTTCCCGCCCGGGCAGCGGAGCAACTAGGGTTCCAGGCGGTACGGTCGGCGCAGTTGTCGCCGGGGCCGGGCCATGAAGATTGAGTTTGCGCCGCTCAACACCCCGCTGGTGCGGCGGCTGCAGACGGCGGCGGTGCTGCTGTGGGTCCTGTCCTTCCTGCTGCTGGGTAAGGGGCCCGCGCGCTCCGGGCCACGGGACATCCAGACGAAACGCCAAGGGCGTGGGGCTCCGAGGACGCGCTCAGAACCGTGCTGCCCTTGTTCCCTTGTCAGCCGGAGCAGGAGGTCAAAGGGCGTTTGGAGCTAACTTGGTCCTCTCCGTTTTGGTTTTTGGTGAACCTCGTAGCGAATGGCTGTTGACCAACTTTATTTTTTTCTATCTTAATTTTTTTTTGATTTGTACTTATCAGTAATAAAACGCACAGATTATAAGTATACAGCTCGGTGAGTTTTGATAAGTGTATACACCCAGTGTAACCACGTCCCAATCTAGCCATAGAACATTGCACTTTAGCCCCTAAAAGCTGGTAAACTTGTTTCTCTACTGTCGATTCGTAAATGGAAAAAGACTGCTCAAGTATTTAAAACCTGTGAATGAAAAAAGAATGCTCAAGTATTTAAAACCTAATTCCTTCTTTCCCCACCTTGATGGCAAACAGCCGTGTTTGTTTTCCGTGTTTAAGATCTCCTGGATGCGGAAAGATATGAAAGCTGCAGCAAAACCAGGGCTTCTAACCGGTTCTTTCAGGTTCTACCCTTTGCTGAGTATTTGCCTTTCCACCCTAGATATACTGAATCAGAATCTACATTTTAACGAGACCCCCAGGTGATTTTTAATATGTATGTAAGAGTCTTAATATGTACGTAAGAATCACCTGGGGATCTTGTTAAAATGTAGATTCAGTGTATCTGAGGTGGAGAGACAAATTTTCAGCAGGGGATGGAACTGGAACTGGTTGGAAGCCCTGAGCAAAACAACAGGTTGGGTGGCTTTTGTTTGGAAATAATTTGACCCAGGAGTGTGTTCCAGCCTGATCCCACATTAAATTCACTGTAGAAACTCACAGGAGCCGATCACTACACATGGGATGTTAACCTTATGTGGTCTGGCCTTGTCCAGATGGGTCAGGGAGCCTTACCTGGGCACTTTGTTTCTGCATACTTGTTCTGCTTTTGGAGTAAACGGGGGTGGGGTGGAGGGAGAAATCAATTATTGGGAACCCCTTCTCTGGGAACGGAAACTCTCCTGGAGGCTGAAGTAATTTGCCTGCTATGAGACCACGGGTTGTACACTGTTGGTGACGGTGAGGTGAATGCAGTGATTAAAAAAAAAAAACCTTGTTGTTCTGTGAGTTTACACTTTTAAAATGATACGACATTTTGCATGACTAGAACAGTGGTTCTCAACCATAGCTGTACATTAAAAGTCACTTGAGGCGCTTCTAAGAAATATGGATGCCCAGGTTCCATCCCCAGAATTTCTAATTCCTTTGTTTCAGAAAGGAGCCCTTCCATCAGTTTTTTTTTTTTTTTTTTAACGATCTCTCCCAGTGACTATTGTGCAGCTAGTGTTTACTTAGATAAGAAGTTCAAAATATTAGCTCATTAAGTCCTCACGGGCCACACTGAGAGGCCTGTGAGGACTTAATGAGCTAATACTTTGATTTTAATGTTTAGAACAGCAGCTGGCGCATACGAAGCCTTCAAGAAGTGTTATCTGTAATCATCTCTGTGTCTCTTTGGCCCACAGCAAAATGGAGGGTAATCCCACTAAATTTAGCGATTTTTCCCCTTACAACCAGTAAGTAATCTGCAGGATGGTGACTGCAAACAGACGTTCCCGTTGACCTTTCAATTAGTGGTTTAAGCCTCCATGAATGATCTTGCCTGGATTAATGACTTTGTGTGATGACACTCCATTTTGCTCTGGGCCAGAGACACAGAGATGATAACAGATAACACTTATTGAAGGCTTGGTAGGTGCCAGGTGCTGTTCTAAACAACATACACTTGTTAACCCAGGTTGATTCTCAGCCAGTGCACCTCGAGCACAGCCACCACCTGTCTGTCAGTGGAAGCTTGCATGTTGCTGTGATGCTGAACAGGTTTTAGCAGAGCTACCAGACTAAGACTAGGAAGAAAGGCCTGGTGATCTACTTCTGAAAATCAGCCAATGAAAACCATATAGATCACAGCAGTCCAATTTCATGCATGGGGTCACCATGATTTGGGGCTGACTTGATGGCAGCTAATGACAAAACAATTCTCATACCAACCTAATAAGTATTGCTCCTGCATTCATTTTATAGATGAGGGAGTTAAGAGGTGAAGTAAATAGCTCAAAGTCACATGGCTCAGTAATGAGTGGAGGAGCTGAGTGCAAACCCAGGTAGTCTGCCTGAAGCTCCTGCTTTTAACCACTGTGTTGACCACATTGATGGCTTGAACTTGGAGCCTGGCGCCCTGATCGTTCAGCACATCTGATAGCCTGATGTATTTTTGTTTCATGCCACTTACCACTGCTTGTATTTCTGTATGCCTGTGGTTTTTTGGAGGAGCCCTGGTTCGAACCCACCAACTGCTCTGCAGGAGAAGGGTATGGCAGTCTGCTTCCCTAAAGATTTACAGCCTTAGAAACCCTAGGAGGCAGTTCTACTCTGTTCTGTAGTGTCGTTGAGTCGGAATTGACTCCATGGCAATGGGTTTGGCTTGTTTGTGTGTGTGTGTGTCTGTGTGGTTATTTGGAGGTTCCTAGGTGGCGCAAGGAAACCTTGGTGGCATAGTGGTTAAGAGTTCAGCCGCTAACCAAAAGGTCGGCAGTTCGAATCCACGAGGTGCTCCTTGGAAACCCTATGGGGTAGTTCTCCTCTGTCGTATCTGTTGTTATAAGTTGAAATCAACTTGATGGCAAAGGTTTGGTTTGGTTTAGGTGGCACAAAAGGAGTTCTGGTGGCATAGTAGTTAAGCAGTTGGCTGCTAACTGGAAGGTCGGCAGTTCGAACCCACTAGCCACTCCAGGGGAGGAAGATGTTGCAGTCTGCTTCGGTAGAGATGTACAGCCTTGGAAACCCTGTGGGCAGTTCTGTTCTGCCCTGTAGGGTCACTATGAGTCGAAATCAGCTCAACGGCAATGGGTAGGTGGTGCAGACTGTTCGCACGTGACTACTAAGCTGAAGGTTGGTGGTTTGAACTCATCCAGTGGTACTGCAGAAGGAAGGCCTGGCAATCTGTTTCTGTAAAGATTATAACCAAGAAAACCATATGGAACAGTCCTACTCCAGTTCTACACAGCGTCACCATGACTTGGAATTGACTCGCACTGGGATTGCTTTGGTGTGGTGGTGGTTTGAGAAAGGTTTGTGCTCAGAGAGGCAGTACCTAGCACGTGCCTGGCCCATGAAGACGTTCAGTAAATGTTTGTTGAATGGCTAGTTCTTTTTCATCACACAGAAGAGAAGATGCTTATCTACCCCAGTTGCCCATGTAATTCCCACAACAACCCTGTGAGGTAAGTACTGCTCCTGCACTCATTGTATAGATGAGGGAACGAAGGGGTGAAGCAAATTGCTCAGGGTCACACTGCCAAGTGGTGAGTGGTGGAGCCACATGTTGCCGAATGTGAATAAGTTAGTGACTCGCATTTGGCAGGTGCTGAATAAAACAATTCTTAATATGAATTGAACTACGATGGTTCGATGGACGTTTATTTAAATCTTTTTCTCTCATGCATTTGGCATTTGTATTATAGTTGCACATTTATTTTGTATTATCGTATACCTTGATAATATTATTATAAAAATTTTCAAGTACACAGAAAAGTAGAGAGAAGGGTATGAACTCCCATGTAACCATCACCTAGGTTTACAATGATTTAATATTTTGCCATATTTGTTTTATTATTTTGCTAAAGTATTTTCAGATAAGTCACATTATGATGTTTCAGTCCTAAATACTTTAATATGCACATTGTAAAATAAGTTTTTTACATAATCACAGTGCCATTATTACACTTAACAAGGTTAAGTAACTCTTTAAAATCATGTAAACCAAGTTCATATGCAGATTTCCTAAATATTGCCAGAAGTATGCTGTCTTAGTCATCTAGTACTGCTATAACAGAAATACCACAAGTGGATGGTTTTAATGAAGAGAAGTTTATTTCCTTACAGTAAAGGAGGCTAAAATCCAAATTCAGGGTGTCAGCTCCAGGGGAAGGCTTTCTCTCTTTGTCGGCCTTCTCATCTGTGTTCCCCCGGACTAGGAGCTTCTTGGCGCAGGGACCCCAGTCCAAAGGACGCGCTCAGCTCCCAGCACTGCTCTCTTGATGGTATGAGGTCCCCCTGTCTCACTGCTCACTTTTCTCTTTTATATTTCATGAGATTGCCTCAGGACACAATCCAGTCTTGTAGATCCAGTCCTGCCTTACTAACACAACTGCCACCCATCCTCCCTCATTAACATCATAGAGGCAGGATTTACAACATATAGGAAAATCACGCAGAACCAGGAATCATGGCCCAGACAAACTGATATACACATTTTTCGGGGGACATAATTCAAACCGTGACGTATGCTTTTACTGGTAAACCTGGATCTACACAAGACCCGCATGTTGCTTTTGTTTTTATGTCTCTCTTAATTTAGAACAGTGCTCCCTCACCTCTGTTTTCTTGTTAATGATTATTGAAGGAGGCAGGATGTCTCACCTTCAGAATTTGCCTACCTTTTTCCTTATTGTGTTTAACTTATTCCCTGTATGTCTTCTGAAATTAAAGTTGGATCTAAAGGCTTGATTAAATTTAGATTAGGCCTTTTTCCTGATGCTGCTGTGTACTTCACAGTTCTCAAATCAGGATGTACATAATGTTATTCGTGTCTGAGATTGATCAGTGGGTCCAGGTATGGATCGCCTGGCCCTTTGTTCTAAAGTTGTGATTTTTTCCCCTTACAAGCAGGAGGTAATCTGCAGAGTGGTGACTTGAACACCCTGTAAGCAGATGTTCCCGTCGACCTTTCAGGTAGTGGTTTAAGCCTCCGTTAATGATCATGCCTGGATTAATCATTTTGCTAGGGACTGTAAAATGGTGGTTTTCTTATTCTGTCATTCGTTCTTCATTATTATTGGAATTTCTGTAAGGAAGAACTTTCCTCATTATTTAGGGCCATT